CAGCTGCTCTACCTCCCTTGCACCCACATGTAAATTTTAAAATCAACTCTTAAAATTCTACCGGGAAAAAAAACCAGTCCGCTGGGATTTAAACTGGAATTGCGTAGAATCTCAAGATCAATTTGAGGACAGTCTTAGTCTGCTCAAGCTGGGCGGCTGAGACAGGAGGATATTTCCTCACGGTCCTGGAGGCCAGAGGTCCAGGACTACGGTGCTGGTAGTTGGGTCCTAGCGAGACCCCATCCGGCGCCTTCTCCCTGTGTCCTCCCAGGAGGGCACCAGTCCTGCTGCATCGGGGCCCCACCCTTGTGACCTCATTTAACCTTAATTGCCTCCAAACAGTCACAGGGAGATATGGGTTTGGGGGAGGGGGGGCCGATTCAGTCTGTAACAGGGACTTGAAAATCGGCAGTCCTGAGTCTTCTAACCCGTGAACACAGGCTGTCTTTCCACATGTTTATTCAGATCTACCTTTATTTCTCTCATTTACATTTTATAGTTTTCAGTGTACATACCTTGCACATATTTTGTTAATTTAACCCTAATTATCTCATGATCTTTTTATTTATTTATTTTTTTGCGGTACGCGGGCCTCTCACTGTTGTGGCCTCTCCTGTTGCGGAGCAGAGGCTCCAGACGCGCAGGCTCAGCAGCCATGGCTCACGGGCGCAGCCGCTCCGCGGCATGTGGGATCTTCCCCGACCGGGGCACGAACCCGTGTCCCCTGCATCGGCAGGTGGACTCTCAACCACTGCGCCACCAGGGAAGCCCTATCTCATGATCTTTAACGCTATTGTAAACTTAATCTTTAAATTTACCTTTCCAACATTTCCAATATGGTAACAGACAGACATAGAGTAATTTTGTATATTGACCTTGTATCCTGTGACCTTGCTAAACTCCCTCATTAATCTTAGTAGCTTTTTGGTAAATTTTAAAGAATTTTCTATGTACACAACTGTATCATATGTAAATAAAGACAGTTTACTTCTTTCTTCCTAATCGCATGCCTTGCTTCTCTTTTTCTTCCCTTCTTGTACCAGCCAGAGCCACCAGCTCAGGGCTAAACAGGAGGGTGGACATCGTTGCCTTGTTTCCAACCTTGGGTGGAAAGCATTCTCTTTCACTGTTAAGGGTGATGCCTGCTGTAGGTTTTCCTGGGTGTTCTTTATCAGGTTGAGGAGGTCTCCTGAAAATTATTACCATAAACTGATGTTGAATTTTGTCAAATGTTCTTTAGTTTGTCTAAGGAAATTACCATATGATATTTCTTCTTTATTCTGTTGTCACGGAGAATTACATTTTTTGATTTTGAGTGGTTAAACAAACCTTGCATTCCTGAGATAAATCCCACTTGGTATGTTATATTCTTAATGTATCCTGGATCTGTTCTGCTAGGCCTTTGCTAAGCACATGATCTATAACGTACTCTATTATTTTGTAACGTCTGTAGGACATGTAGTGATGCACCCTCTCATGCCCGTTGTTGGTCATTGGCTTCTCCTTATTTTTTCCTTGATCAGTCTCGCTAGAGTCAGTTTTCTATCAATCAGAATTTCTATCAATTTTATAGATTATTACAAGGAAGCACCTTTTGGATTATTTTCCCCTGTTGCTTGACTGTTTTCTGTGTAACTGATTTCTGCTCTTTATCGTTTTCTTCCTTCCACTGATTCTGGGTTTAAGTGTTCTTTTTCCAGCTTCTTGAGGGGAAGATTAGATGACTGATTTGGGGCCTTTCATTTCTAACATAAACATACCATACATTTTAATGTTGTTTTCATTTTCATGCAGTTCAAAACATTTTAGTTTCCCTTGTGATTTTTTCTATGACCCACGGACTATTTCGGTGTCTGTTGGCTAATTTCCAAATACGTGGAGATTTTCCAGATATTTTTGTCATTAAATTCTGATTTAATTCTGAAGACCTTCCTGTAACATTTCTTCCACCACAGATCTGCTGGTGATGAATTCCCTCAGCTTTTATTTGTCTGAAAATGATTTTATTTCACCTTAGTTTAGTTTTGGGGGGCCATTTCACTGTACATACAATTCAAGGTTAACAGTGTCTTTTTTTTTTTACTGCTGCAAGAGTTCTGTTCCATTGTCTTGGAGCTTGTGTTGTTTCAGGCGAGAAATCTGCGGCTCTCTTATCTTTGCAACGCGCCTTTTCTCTCAGACTGCTTTTAAGGTGCTTCTTTGTCACTGGTTTTCCACTATTTGATTATGACGTGCCTTGAGTGGTTCTCTTCGCGTTCATGCTGCTGGGGGTTTAGCATCCTGAAAAATCCCCTTTGGTTGTTTTACAATATCTTTTTAGTTCTCATCACAATTCAGCTTGGCTAATTTTATTTATTGATTCAACATTCAACAAGTATGGAACACCTACTGTGTGCCTGGCATCATGATACAAGACAAAGATCCCTGTTTTCACGGAGCATATGTCCTGAGAGCAGAAGAGGAAAAAACCCAATAACCTAGTAATAAGATTACAAGCCTGTAATCTTGTGAGTGTGAGATAAAGCTGTAAGCGCTGTGAGACAAAGTACAGGAGGTTAAAGGGCAGGCAGGCTGGGCGGGGGGCGGGGTAAGGGGAGGCTTGTCACAGCAAGGGAGGCGACAGGCTGCAGGAGAAAGTGCTGGGGTGGGATGAACAGACTTCCTGGCACTGACGTGGCTGCAGGGATGAGGGGAGAGCAGGAGGGAGGAGGTGGGGCGGCCGGCACAGACCAGGAAGGCCCCGTGGGCTGATAAAGGCTTTTGCTTTGCTCTGGGATGGGAGCCACTGCAGGGGCGAAGGGGTGACATGATCTGACCTTAGCCTCTAGAGGGTCCCTCTGGCTGCTGCAAGGTGAATGCACCCTAGGGGTCTGAGGGCGGAGTGGGCAGAGGTGACTGCAGTGACCCACTGAGGGGGATGGTGGCAGGGACCTGCTGGTGGCTGTGGGTGACGGAAAGTGCTCGGATTCTGAATACGCTCTGAAAGTGGGCCTGTCTGGACTTCCAAGTCGGGTGAGAGGAAGAGGGGTCCAGGGGGACTCCAAGGTCATTGGCCCGAGCGAGTGGAAGGACAGACCACCATCCATCAGCTGACACCAGAGGGCGGTGGGCAGGTGGCTCAGGTGGTGCGGGCACAAGGCTGGACTGGGCCACACAAGCATCTTGGGCAACCTGGGTCGGGGCAGGGACAGCTCTTAGGAGTTGGGCCGCACAGGGCTCGGGAGGAGGGGAAAGAGTCGGGCCTCGTTTTGTCAGGAAACAGTTACCCTGTAGCCGCAGAAGGGAAACAGCTCTTGGTTGCTTGGAGCAAACCAGAGGCCTGAGGTCTGGGCACAGAGAGGGCGGGTGGCCACTTCCTCTCTCTTTTTTGTGTCGTTTTTTAAATTCATCTTTGTCTTTTTCCTTCTTTCTTTTCCTTTCTCTCAATAGCTACTTATTGAGATGTAATTCACATACCACAAGAACCACCCTTTCAAAATGTACAACTCAACGTTTTAATACAGTAAGGAGGTTGGGCAAGCACCACCTCTAATTCTAGGTCACGTCTGTCACCCCAAGAAAGAACCCCTGTGCCCATCTGCAGGCGCTTCCCTTCCCTTCCCTCTGCTGTGGGTTTGCCTCTTCTGGACATTTTGTCCAAGTGGCATCACACATTTGCTCTTTTTGACGGCCTCCTTTCACTCAGTGTCCTGTGTTTAAGGTCCCTCGTGTTGTGGCGTTTCAGCGCTTCAAGCCCTTTTGAGGCTGGAGACAGGCGTCTGGTCACCATCGGCCAGGGAGGGGCCCTGCCTGGGCTGTGCGCTAAGGACGCGGCGCCCGCGCTCAGGGGCGGGGGGCCTCTAGCGCCGTCACCCCCTTCGGCCCCCACCCCGGGTCGCGGCACATCCCAGCTGCCCCCTGACGCCCCTCTGTGCCGGCGCCGCGGCACCCAGAGCCCGAGTGAGGCGGCCAAGAGCTGGGGAGGCGGCGGCGCTGCGGAGGGAGGGCCGGGCGCCCGGGGCCGATAAGCGGGCGAGCGCCTCCCGAGGGCCTGGCTGCGGCGGGGCTCCGAAAACGCAGGGGCCGCCGGGTAGGGCGGCTGGGGTGCGGGGCCACCCGGCTGGGGGTGTCACCTGGCACCTGGGGTCCCCGGCCGCGTGAGGACCCAACGCCCAGCCCGGGGTGTCCCCGCCACCGGGACGTTCGGCAACCGAGAGGGCGGGAGACGAACCAGGGAGGGTCTCCCGGGGAGGGTACCCCGGACACGGCTCCCAGCGCTGCCATCGGACCCGGGAAGTGTAGCCGCCCAGGCGAGGCTAGTGCCGACAGCGGGGGCGCCACTCCTCGGGGAGGGTTGGGGGTCATCTGCCGAGGCCCCCAGCCCCGGGGAGCCCGCGCCCCCTCCCGGGTCCTCCGAGTGGCGTCTGGGGAAGGATCTCCGGCGCTCCCGGAGAAACGCGCAGCGGCGCCCACCCGGGCGTCCCGTCGCAGGGGCGGGGCCGGGCCGGGGGACAGCAGTCCTCCCGGCGGCGACGCCGTGAACGCCAAGCTCGCACCCCTCAGCCCGGCCCCGCCCCGTCCCCCGCGCACGCGGCTCCTTTAAGAACTTGCTGCGCCCGCCCGCCTCCTTTTTCTCGCGCGTCGCCCTCCCAGGCCGCCCCGCCCCTGCCGGGAGCGCGCCTGCGTCACCGCGTAGACCTCGGCCCTGACCCCACGTCCGCGCCTCGGAGGTCAGGGCGAGCCATTGCTTGCCGAGCTCGGCGGCGCGTGACAGGAGGTGGGCGGGGCCTCATCCGGAAGGGGCGGGCTAATTTGAGAGCAGCCGCGTCGCGGCGTAGACGCTATCGTGGCCGGGCTGACCTTCGCCCCCGCGCCGCCCGGGCCAGGGCGAGCCAATGACTGTTGCGATCTGGGGCATGTGACAGGGGGCGGGCCCTTCGCCGGAAGGGTGAGGTGAGGCTAGCGGCCGGGTCGCGCGGTAGGTATCGCGGTCCTGTGCCGCTGGGCAGGGGCGACGGGGCGGGGGCGGGGCGCCGGAGGGCGAGCCCTCTCTCGGGGACGTCCCCTGCGTCCCCCCCGTGATGCCCCTACTGCACCCCTCCCCGGACGCCCCCTCAGTCCGGCCGCTCGCCGGACTTCAGGACGGGGGCGGAGTCGGCCCTGACAGGGCCGGGGGCAGCCGGGTGCTGGCGTGTGCTCGGGAGAGCGGCTCCCGCCCCGGCCGCCGAGGATCGGCGACGATAAACGTTACTGTTGGCGGGCGCGACGGGAGAGGCTGCGCCCACGTTCCCGGCCCTTCTTTCCACTGGTGAAGCCGAGCCCTGCAGCCAGCCAGGCGTCCTCGGCGCCCCAGGCTCAGGGCGACCCCGGCCCCTTCCTTCCTGCGCAAGTGCTGCGCGGGCGCCCCGGCCTCCTCCGCACCCGGCCTCCGGGCGGCTCTCCGCGCGCAGGTCGAGTCGCAGCAGCTCGCTCCGGGTGTAGAGGCCGCCTTGTGGCCTTCGGATGGATAGTCGTGTTGGCGAGGAAAGAGGGGCGGCGGCGGTCCTGTGGGAAAGCTAATTTAACTAAGTGCAACTTAGACCGTTCTGATCCTTGCCTTACCGCAGTGCGTGGCCAGCGGCGGAGAACAGCCGGGGCTGCAGCCTCTGCCGCGCTGGGGGGGTCGGACCGTAGACCTCCAGAGCTCACGTGCTGTTGTTACTCTTTTCCTAATTTCCACCAAAAAGGTCTTGTTGGTCTGATTTGGAACGTCTCCTTGAATTGTTGTATTTCAGCATCGGGGGTCACCTCTCAGAGGCCAGGGAGCGAGGACTCAGCCTTGCGCCCACACCCCGATGCCCAGCACACAGTGCAGCCCAGCAAGCACTTGCCGATGAAACCCAGGGCCCTGAAGTACTAGGTGGTCATTTAGCATGTCTGCGTTCCAGGTTTCTACGTATGGATCAGAAACTTTCAGAGTTGGTGGAAGAGCTCACAACTTCAGGAGAGCCCCAAGTGAATCCCGAGAAAATGAAGGAGCTGAAGAAAATTTGCAGGTACGTCATAAGCGTTCACGTTTTAGGTGACGGCTGTCTCAGCAAGCCCGTGACAGCCCTGGGAGATTGTGGGGCTCCCCCGGGGTCCGCCCTCCCCTGCCTGTCCCCACGATCGACCCTTTGCCAGGAGAGAACTAGTAAAGGGACACGCCCGGGACGTCTCCCCAGGGCCCTGCAGCGCCTGGTCGTGTTCTGGGTAGCGGTCCCAGGTGGGCCTGTGTGGCATGCGGGAGAACACAGGGCTGTGGTTGGTGTCTGTTCACTCCCGTGTGTGTGTGTGTGTGTGTGTGTGTGTGTGTGTGTGTGTCTGTCCTTGAGCGCCCGTGTGTGACTTATGGATTAGTTACTGTTGGAACAAAGGATGGGAGGAAGGTTAGAGGTCATAGCAGGCGGGCTCTGCAGGACCTGTTTTTCAACACCACCCCTTCTTTTCTCCCACTGCTGAGGGCCTCTCAGATGCTGGGAACTAAGCCGAGGGGATTTACTGATCGTTCTTATCCTGTGCTTACAAAGCAGGGAAACTTAAGTGATCCTGTTAGTGATTTACGTTTTGATAGAAAATAGTGGCTCAGGTCAGGTTTTGCCGCACGCCCCAGAATCCCCCCAAACAGCAGGGTGTGTGCAGGGGCGGGGATAGCCGGTAGGAGGAGCAACGAGGGGTCAGGGTGTGCGCCGGCCTGCCAGGGCGGCTCCCAGAGGCCCACAGAGCTTTCTGGGGGTGCTGGGACGTGTGGTCTCCCCTTGGGGTGGGGTCTCTGCTACGCGAGTGCAGGGCCGGCAGGCCTCTACCGGCGGGCCGGCCGGGCGGGGAGTCTTTCAGGCTCCGCAGGCGGTCAGGTCTGCTGTGGGCACTGGGCTGTGGACAGGCGGTCAGCCGCTGAATGAATGAATGGGCCTGGCTGGGTCCCAATAAAACTGGGCACCCACGCTGAATCTCACACGTCAGGAAGTGTTACTCTTTTGACTTGTCTTAACCAAAAGAAAGGAAAAACTGTCCTTGACTTGCGGGCTGTGCAGAAATAGGCAGGGGCTGGGTTTGGCCCGTGGGCGGTAGTTTGTCCACTTTGCTCTGGAGGAAGGGCAGAGGCCTGTGGGAGGGCCCGCGTCCCTGCCACCTGTGGGTGCGTCAGGCGCCTGGTGAGGAGGGCTGTGTCCTCAGGTCTTCAGAGGAGCAGCTTGGCCGCACCTACCACCTGCTGATGGCCCAGCTGAGCCAGGAGCACGCCGAGGTCCGCCTCTCCGCTTTCCAGGTCCTGGACCAGCTCTTTGCCAGGTCTCACCATTTCAGGATGCTAGTCGTTTCCAACTTCCAGGAGTTCCTGGAGCTCACACTGGGCACCGACCATGAGCGGCCCCTGCCGCCGCCCAGAGAGGTGGCACAGAAGCTGAGGCAGGCCGCCACCCGGGCCATCCGCGGCTGGAACGAGAAGTATGGTACAGCCTATAAGAAGCTGGCCCTGGGCTTCCACTTCTTAACGCACAACAAACAGGTAGGCAGGCCCCAAGCTGCACTGCCCCTCCCCGCGGGGAGACCTGCCTGGCCCCCGGGGGTACTGAAGGGGGTGGGCCTCAGGGGCTCCCAAGACAGGAGGAGCAGCTTTAGGGGAAGAGCCGCAGCTTGTCCCCACGTGTAGGTGGTGCTGAGCCTTTGGACCTGGTTTCTAGGAAAGATGAAAAGAGGAGGGAGATTCAGCTGCTCAGACGCAGCCCTTTTCTGTGCTGGGCTCTGCGCTCGGGCTGTCCCCTGCTTTCACTGTGAGTTGCTCCCTGGGCTGCCACAGGCTCTGGCCAGCCCGGTGGATGGTACCTACCAGTACCAGTAGTGCCAGCCTCCCCCACGTGCCCGTGCTCCTGGCCTGTGGCTGCTGCCTTTCCTGCCGCTCCCTAGGGGTCCACTCGAGTGTTGCTCTCAGGCCCCTCGGTCCAGCCAGTAGCCTTCCTTCCCACTAATTGGAGCGAGCTTGCTGCCTGCCTGCCTGCAGCACACGTGGGGATGGAAGTCTTTTACGTCTTATTTTACTAGGAGACGCCGCTGGTTGTGTTCTTACCGGGGGTTAAACATCGCAGCTGAGCGTGTTGCTGTGTGTGTTAAAACAGCGCGTGTGAACTTGAGACCAGTAGAGCTCATGGCTGTAGCTGGCGAGGCTCCGGCTTCCCTTACGCCAGTTTTTGTTTTTTTGATTTTAGTTATTTTATGTATTCATTTTTAGCTGTGTTGGGTCTTCATTGTCGCGCGCGGGCTTTTCTCTAGTTGGGGCGAGTGGGGGCTACTCTTTGTTGCGGTGCGTGGGCTTCTCGCTGCGGTGGCTTCTCTTGCTGCAGACCACGGGCTCTAGGCTTGCAGGCTTCGGTAGTTGTAGCATGCGGGCTCAGCAGTTGTGGCCTTGTGAGCTCTAGAGCACAGGCTCAGTAGTTGTGACGCACAGGCTTAGTTACTCTGCGGCACATGGGATCCTCCCAGACCAGGGCTCGAACCCGTGTGCCCTGCATTGGCAGGCAGATTCTTAACGTATGCGCCACCAGGGAAGCCCCCTTAGGCCTGTTTTTGATTCTTGTTTTACCTGGGTTCACGATGGTCAGATCTGATCTTTACCTCAACTTTTCAGGTAGATTTCCAAGATGTGGACGCTAGGACTCTGGCGGAGAGAAAGCGAGCAGAAGAGAAACAGAAGCGCTTGGACAGAATCTACAAGGAGAGGTCTGAGCAGGCCGCGCGGGAGATGGAAGGTGAGCTGTGGGGAACGGGGGTGCCCCAGCGCCCACCGGCTGCACCTTCCCAGGCAGAGCTCGGGTCTCCGCCCAGCTCTCTGTTCTCCCATCCCAGGGCCTGGTCCCCAACGGAGGGGCGGGGGGAGAGGCAAGTGGGCAGGCTGGCTGGGCGGAGCTGGCTCAGGTTGAGGGCTGGGGGAGGCACTCAGCCACAGACCCCAGCCCTCCCCTCTGGAGGCCAGGCAGCAGGAGGCACCCTGCAGGCCATCCACGCCTCCCCCGCGGCCCCGGCGGCAGTGCTTGAGATGTGCACCCCGCGGTGGTCTGCGCACCCCATGCGTTTGACGCTCCCCCACCCCCCAGCCGTGGTCTTGCCGGCCTCCTCCCCAGATCCCCACCATTGGCCAGCCCTTCCCATGAAGGGCAGCCAGGGTGGGAGCACCTGGGGAGGAGGCCTGGCATCAGGATAGCCGCAGAGCCAGGGAGAGGTGGTCGGCCTGGGGGGAGATGCCGGGAGGGTGGGGGGCGGCCAGAGCGGGACGGTGGCGGTGTGCCCCCTCGCCTGGCTGCTCTCTTCCAGAAGTACTGCCCACAGAGGCTCTCGCTGGGTGTCCATAGATGCCGCCGGGTGCCGTCGCAGCATGAGTCGGGACTGAGGGTGGTACCCAGGACGTCCTGAAGGACGGCCTTGCCGTGGCCGGCCGGGTGCTCTCTGGAGCAGGGCGCCTGCCTGCCTCTGTGGAGGAAGTGGGGGACGGGGCGGGCGGCTGGTTGCATCCCCACCCTCGACGGCCAAGTCCTGATGGGACCCAGCGAGCCCCGTCTCGTCCTCCCAGAAATGTCCGGGGAGATCCGGAGCTGCCTCATGGAGCTGGAGAGCTGCTTCCGACTGCTGGTGCCCTTTGACCTTGACCCGACCCCGGGGGCTGCCTGGCCCGCCATGGCCGAGGAGGGTGGCAGGGACGAGGAACAGCCCTGCTGCAGCAAGACCCTGGCCGCCTGCACCCGCCGCCCGGGAGCCGCGGGTGCGGAGGGCCCGCCCGCGGAGGACAGGGACGAGGACAGCGACCCCGAAGGGTTTGTGCGGCACCACGGGCTGGGCTCCCGCGAGTACACGCTCGAGGTGGAGCTGTCCTCAGGTGCGGGCACATCCCAGAGCTTGGGGTTCCCGAGCTGTGGGGGCAGGGGTGACTTAGGCTTGTGGGTCCTCATTGCGACACGCAGGCCCAGCGGTGAGGGTGGGCCTGATGAGCCAGTGATGGGGCGCCCCTGCGGAGGGGTCGGAGGGTGGCTGGGAGAAAGAAGTCATTGAGAAACAGCTTGTCACCATGTTTGTGACGACACAGGTGGTGACAGGCTGGCCTCACGTGGCTCCTGCTTTCCAGCCAACGGTGGGGCAGGGGCACTGACCCCCCGTCCAACCCCATGTGGCCCAGGCCCCTCGGGCGGGGCTGGAGGACAGCCGGGCTGCAGGAAGAGCCCTGCAAGCCCCAAGGAACCGACACCCTCTAGCCGGGGTCATGGAGGCAGGGGCGTGCTGGAGGTTGGGGTGCCTGGCTGAGGCTTGCGAGCGTGGCAGAGCTCAGAGGGAGGACCCTGGAGCCCAGGGGCGGGTGCGGCCTCCATCCCGCAAGTAGTGCGGGGAGGGTCTCCTGACGGCCTGGCGCGGAAGGAGGCGTTGGGGTCAGGCTAAATCCATCGTGGCCGAGATCACAAGGCAGTGAGTCTCCTTAGGGAGTCAGGTTTGGGGTCCCGGGTGATGTGTGGCTGGGGCAGGGTGGGTGGCAGTGCGGGTGGCCCGTCTGGGGTGCCCGGTGACCTGCCCGGACGGTGGTCCCTCTGATGACCTGTGTGCTTGCTGCAGACAGCCTGAAGGTGCACGAGGATGAGGACAACCTGGTCATCATCCACGTGGTCCGGGACACGCTCAGGCTCATCCAGAACAAGTTCCTGCCAGCCGTGTGCTCCTGGGTCCAGGTGGGCCAGGCGTGTGGGCAGAGGGTGCCAGGGCGAGCCCGGGGGAGGGAGGGAGGGTGCCCAGCCTGCTGAGCGCTTCCCCGTCCTCGCAGCTGTTCACCCGCGCAGGGACGCGTGGCAGGCACTTGGAGGGTGCTATCGACCTGAAGGCCGAGCTGGAAACCGCTCTGAGGAGATCTCGGGAGCTGGATGTCATGCCTGAGGAGGGCTGCAGGCGGGAGGTGAGTGCCGCCGGCCCGTCTGCCCGAGAGGACAGCCAGGGGACCTTCTTCTGATACCAGCTCGGCCTCCTAAGCAAGCAGGTGTCCCTGGGGCCCCAGCGTTGTTCCTTCTCTTCCTCCCTGGGAACCGACTTCCCCGAGCGGGAGCCCTGGACTGAGCACCAGAGGCCACAGCCAGGCCCTCGCCACACGTGGAGGGACTGGGACCGGGTCTTGGCAGAAGGGCGAGGGAGGTGGGCTGGGCAGCGGGCGGAAGGCTCTAGTTGGGGAGGGGGCTCCCAGGGCCCAGGCAGGGATGTGTGGGAGGCGGCCTCGCTGAGACTAGGCTGCCACCTGGCCCGAGCACCTAGTAGGCCCCTTCCCGTGAACTCGGTAGCAACTTCCAGCCTTGGGCGTTTCTCCCGTCTGTGCACTGGAGCCGAGGGTGGTTGCAGGACACGGAAAACCTGGGTGTCTCTTATGCGCAGAGCGGTGTCCCAGCCTAGGGCGGCCAAGTGGGGTGGACGTGGGGACTGGTGCCCGGTTTTGGGAGGGTGCTCAAGGCCCACCATCTGCTGGGCATACGGCGCCGCCTCCCAGGTGCCACGTGGTTCGGGAGCGGGGAGGTGATCTTCGATGGCTGTGTCCCAGCAAGGCTTGTGGGGCGGGGCAGGCGTGTGGCCCTGGTCCAGGGGCCCTGGGGACTGGGCAGGGGTAAAACCACCTGCTCCCGGACACCAGGCCCCTGTGCGGTGACCCCGAGCCTCAGAGGTGGTGGCGTCCAGGGCCCCTCCCATGGGCTTGCACCAGGAGCTGGACCTTCATGCCTGAAAGGGACCAAGAGAGCTGGGTCCTCTGAGGGTGTTCCAGGGGGCCGTGGGGGGTGGGGAGCCGCTACAGCTGGAGGGTGTGTGTGGGGGGAGGTGCAGCCACAGCTGGACGTCGTCAGCGATCGGAGCCAAGAAGCCTCTGGTGAGAACCAAGGAGGAAACAGGCAGCAGGGTGCACTGCGCCCCAGGGACACCCAGAGCCCGAACCCCACAGGGTTGAGCTGTGGCACCTGAAGGGGAAGGAGGGAGGGGGCAGGGGCAGGTCCCTCTCCCGTTTCCTGAGGAAGCCCTGGGGTGGGGAGAGCGCTGTTCCTTGCTGAGGAAAAGGTCAAGTTTGAAGCCTCTCAAACTTAGAGGGGAGAGTGGCCAGCACCCTGGGCCTTGGTGCCTCATCCTTGCCCCCAGGGGCCCGCGGGGATGGGCCCTGCAAGAGTTTCTGAGAGTTTCTGCGTCGTCTGCCCTCCTCTTTGTGGGTGTGCAGCCCCCCGGGACCGGCAGAGGGCGATCTTGACCTTCTCCCGAGACACGAGGGCACGAGGCCTGGTGGTCAGCTGGGGGCCTGGCCCTGCTTCCGTGGACGCTAGGGCTCTGCTCGGTGTATAACTGAACAGGAAATAAGTTAGTTCTGTGAATTTTGACCGAGATACTTGTTTCACGATGAGAAAGGGTGTTTTCTGGGCCCGGGGGAGGAATTGGTCTGGTCTGTGCATCCTCTCAGGTCTGGGGCGGGCGTGTTTATGAGCCTCAGCGGACTCCTGGCGCGGTGTCAGGGTGGAAGGCCGGGCTGAGAGCAGTGAGGGGTGTGGGGATCAGGGGTTGACACCGTGTGCCCCCTTCACAGGCACCTGAGGCCGGCCTGTCTTGCTCGCAGGCCGCCTTTCCCTCGCTGTGTCTGGCGGGGCTGGGGCAGCTCCCCCCTTTCCGAGCAGCAGGCATCCTGGAGCAGCCAGGGCTTTGGGGGAGAGCCTCAAGGAGAGACCAGGCAGCACGGGCCGGCCAGATTCGGAGCCCAGAACTGGTAGCAGAACCTTCCGGATGTCTTGACGTGGCTCCCTCGAGGGCCACTAGGTGAGGCCAGCTGCTGGGAGCGAGCCCTGAACGGCCCACTGCGTCTGGTTCCAGCTGGAACATCAACGCATCCTTGACGGTGGCCAGGCAGCCCCGAAGCCCGGGAGGCACATGGCGGCACGGTCAGGTCAGAGTGCAGTCTGTGCAGGGAGGCGGCTGAGGGCACGAGCTGGGGTGGCCGGGCTCTGTCGGGGTGGGCGCGTGGTCGGGTGTGGGAGTGGCGCTGCCTTGTCAGGCTCCTCCAGGAGTTGATTCCAGAGGCCCTGAATCCTTGGAGAGCGTGCTGGCTGGTTCACTAGCAGTGGCGCGGGCTTGTTGATGGGGTGATTGGGGCTGGGCCGCTGAGTGGCAGCGCCCACTCGCTTGGGCAGCCTGCTTCCCAGAATAGGCAGGCCGCGGTATCTGCACACCTGCGCCCGCGCCGCGCGGCCCAGTGGCGATTAGAATCACGGCCCAGTCTTTCTCGCTCGCTCGTTTTCACGTAAAATGTCCGGGGCTTAAATCCTTTGCCTGGTGTTTACCCACTTAGCATGCGCTGAGCTGGGAGCGTGTAGTTAAATATTCGAGAATTTTAACAAACGTGGAAGAGACCGAAGCTGATGTGAAGGTCGTGCTGAAGCTTAGGCGATGGCTTCGACCGTGGAAAGTGTGCGTCATGCAAGGGCTTCTCCTGGGCAGCCTAACTGCAGCCAGGCCAAGGGCCTTTTTTTCAGATTTCCTGTTTCAGTCTATGTGTTGCTGTATTGTTTTCCTTTTGACGGAGACGTTCTGTCTTTAAAGAATACTTAAGCCAGCTTAAATACGTTTAACCGTTTGTCTTATAGAGTATCTGTTCCAGTTCCTTGTGGAAGCGGGCCGGGGATAAATCTTAACTAGATCGATATGGAGCATCATTTGGTAGATTTAGTTTCCAGTTCTGCTGCTAGAGGAGAGGTCTAATAATCCGTGGCTGCTACATCTGTTAAACTGATAAAAATCCTTTGAAAACTTTTAAATTGCCTGCTGTTTAACTATGTAGCTACGATCACCACTTAACTCTGTATTGTGTAATTAACAAAATATTAATCATCCCCCAACCAGTAAGTCAGGAAAAAATAATTCCAAGTAGCAGTCTGTTTAAGCTGTGGACAGTGTGGGTGTCTGCTCAGTTGTCGGGTTCCTCGCTTCCACGGCTGGAATGCCCGCGCGGATGCTCTCGTTCTCACCCATTGGTGGTCTGAGGTGGCAGCCACAGGCTTTTAACTCAGACACACTCCCTCATCGCAAAAGTGGAGATCGCTCCTCTTAACTCTGGGTGAGGTTTTCTTCCTGTTGGTCACCCAGGCGGGTGCGCGGGCCGAGGCCAGGCTGCTGTCACGGCTGTGCTGTGCGCTGGAGGCGAGGCGTTTCTCTCTGCTGCCAGAGCTGAGTGCTGGCTTCCTGTAGGTGAAAAGGAAGGAGCAGGGAACAAGGGGAGTGAAATGTTGACTGCGGGCGCCCCAGGGAAGCAAGGGAACTAAATCAGCTGGCAGTCAGGACCTTGTGTTCAGCAGGGCCAGTAAACAACCTTCCTGGTGACGCGCGCTCTCCATCACCACCGCGCCGAAGGCTGCTGTGTGAGGGCTGGAGCCGGGGGAGGGGGCTGCACACGTTCTCGCGAGGACGGGGACCAGGAGCGTGTTAGCTGCTGGGGGGTCAGGGGCCAGCCGTCTCCCCCACAGCCCCTGGGCCCTCCCTGCCCTGCAGCCCATCCTCCCCGGCACCCTCCAGGGTGGCCGCTCTCTTCCAAACACTTTTCACGTGTGGTCCCGTTAATTCCAAAGTCAGCCCTGTGAGGTCGATTCCATTTTCACCGTCCTCTCACGGATGGGAAGACTGAGTCTAGGCGGAGCCGCATGGATCTTCTGGCCAAGGCGAGGTGGCACAGCAAGCACCTCGCTCTTGCTAGGAGGTCGCGCTGAGGGAGGAGAGCGCCGCTTATCTGCATGCAGAACAGGCCCAGGCCACCTGGCCTCGGCTTGGAAATGGACGGCCAGGCATTTGGTGGCCTCCCTGCGCACCCCCGACAGGCTGGCTGAGGTGCTGGAGCAGCTCCCAGGGCTCGGCCGCATGGGAGCGGGTGAGAAAGGGACAGGCGGTCTGACTGGTGGCTCTCAGGCCCCCGTGCGGGGGGAGGTGAGCATGTGCTCCACGCCCCGTCCGCCTCCTGTTCCGCGGGCCCGTGGTGGTCACCGCGCGTCCTCTGCCCTCTGAGGTGCGTCCGGGCAGTGGAGATGCGCGTGAGATATTGGCCTGGCTGGGCAATTTGCACTGCGTCCAGGGAGGGCATTAGCATATAAATAGCAGATGTGATGACGGCCATCACAGCTGAGCACGTTTAATTTTTAGTTTATAAGATAGAATGGGGTTTTAAATGCGTTGCCATCAAGCCGCGGAGACAAATGCCGCTTGGAGCTCACTTGTCTGACGAGGCCTTACATCATTTTTTTTTAAAAAGGGAAACAGACACACATGAAACTGAACAAAAGTGATTTCTTGGGTGAAAAGTAATGGAGATGGCGCCCCGAGTTAATTAGATCGCACAAAATTTATTTAATGGTCCAGCTGTATCTCGGGTGTGCCTTGGGCGGGCAGACCTGGGAGGTAGCTCTTCCCATCCTTCTCAAGTAATTAGCAACCCGCTGCCCTACTTCTGTAAACAGATTACATTGTATATCTTAGCTGTTTTTATTGCTTGTTTAATTATGATCGGGGAGTCTCATTTTTCTAAACCCTTTTAACTGTGGGCGAGAATCAATTTGTGTGAAACCAGAGGAAAGCCCAGGGCGTCCTCCACACCTCCCTGCGGCCTTGGGAGGGTTCAGCTTGGGGCCTGGCCCTCACCCAGACGGTTGACCACAGGGCTCGGACCGCCTGCCCGGGCCTCCGAAGCCCTGGGGCTTGACCTGTTAGGGAGGGTGGGCGCTCCCCCGGGGGGGGGCCTGACATGGCCTCCTGGCCCCCGGACGAGGGCGGGCTGCTTTCTCAAGCATGTCTGGTGGTCTTTCTTCCCGATTGGGAAGCTCAGCTCCCAGCAAACTGCTCTTGAGAACCACTGGCGAGTCTGGCCCCGTTTTGAAGGCCACCCACCCTCAACCGATTCCTCCCTAGGGCGTGACCTCCTCCTAGGATCGTCGGGCCTCCCCTCACCCCTGCTCTGCCCGTAGTGCCTCTACCCGCACCCAGTGTGGCGTCTGACCTGATATGTGACCTTTAGCCTTGAGGGGAGGTTGCCAGCGCGACTGCCTGGGACCCCTGGGCTGGCCCCTCGAGCACAGGTGGGTGCTTTCTCGTGGGCCTCGGTGTCTCCAGCCATGTGCTTTCCGGAGGCCTGGAGAGGACTGTCCAGCCTGCGGGCAGGGGGTCCCTTCCTCTGAACAGGCCCTTGGCCCCAGGTGTTCTGGCCGCAGGGATTGTGCCTTGGGACATCTGCACTGCTGTTCTCCCGTGAGGGTAGCGTGCCCAGAGCCGGACGCAGAAGGTCCCGCTGTGTGCTCAGGACAGCAGAGCCCAGCCCAGCCCGTATGAGCTAGAACTCGAGAATGGGTTCATTCAAGCTTGAGTTCAGTATCAGCAGCGAAGCCCCTGCTTCCTTCAGCAGGGCCGTGGTTTGAGGGTCACCCCAGCTGCTAAAGGGTTTAGGACGCGAGCGTGGCAGCGATGGCCAAGGTAGGTCTCGTACGAGGGCCCCGGGGCCGCTCACAGCAAAGCTGTGCCCGAGGATCTGGCCGGGGGCCCTAAGGAGGCAGCTCTTGAGGGCCAGACGGTCTTCCTGGGTGCGGTACGGCCTCATGGCCTCGTCAGTGAGACTTTGAGAACAGAGGGAGCCAGGGTTCAGTGTTTAATCATGGGGATAAACAACTTTAGTTGGGGAGAAAGAAGGTATAATTCCTAATAGTTAGCTAAGCAGCTAATTAGTTTTTAGGAAATGAAGATTTAATAAAAGTCCCAGGTGAAATTCAAGGGTGTGAGCAATAAGCATAATATTTTATGAAAATGAGCCCCATATTTAAAGTCTGGCACTATGTGTTATGCATTGTAGCACCCGGTCCACATCTACCTTTTAGAAAATTAAAACACATAAATTCTGTTTAGTGTTTGATACGCGCTGCACTAGCCGGGACCGTAATGCCCTAAAACCTTGGGCTGCTTTCCACCTTTCATAAATTCCTGGGTAGATTCTATACAAAAATAATTTTCAGGTCCGCGGCTCATTGTTATTCAAACGTGATTGATCGTCGTCATTTGCTCAGCTCTGGAGTTAAGTGCCCCTGTCATTTCCAAAGAGTATAATTGGGACGTTTCACAGGTCAGCGGCGGAGACAGGCTTCCCTTTTGATCAGTGTTAGACCGATAACAAAAATTACAGTTTCCAGTGATTAATGTGTCCGTGCTTCCCAGACGCACGCCGGTGGGCTGTGTCCAAGCTCAGTGCATTCGCATCAGATTAGGCCTCGCGGGCAGCTCCTCCGTGGATTCCGGGTCCGCGGGGCGTGGGGCGTCCCGGGCCTGGCAGCGCCAAGGGCAGCGGCCTGGCTGGCCTCGCGACCTGGGGGTCGGCGGGCCGGGCCCTCCGTCCTTCTTCCGGCGTGCCTGTGTACCCCTGAGGCATTGCTGTCGAGGTGGGCTCTGGAGGGGAGGGCAAGTCTGATGGATACAACCATTGGTTGCTATCACCCCGACAGCGGGCTACCTCTCTGGACGTTTCCTTCTTGTGGGCCTGAGGGCAGCAGCCCCTCCTGGCCTGAGAGGCTGGAGGCAGGCAGCGCCCCCTGAGTGTTTCAGGATGGCGCTGGCAGCGGGGCCGGGCTTCTGGGCGCCTTCCTGCCGTGACCCTCTCAAGAAGGACAGGCCCCCACGCCCTGTCCTGGAGTGCGGGGGGCCGTTGAGGATGGGTGAGGGAGAAGGGGAGCAGGAAGCTGCTCTGGCCTTGGAGGGGCTGTGCCTCCGAGTCTGCGCAGCATGGGCTGCCAACACCTCGTTCATGCTGCACGTGGCCCCAGCACATTGGCACGTGTGCGAGGCCTTCGGTCGTCCTGCTTTTTGGAGGGCCCTCTGGTCCCCACAACGTGAGCCCTCCGTGCTCCGTGTCCCTGCCGCTCCTACCCAGCCGGGCACTGCCCAGGAGCGGGTGGGGGCAGAGGCGGAGTGGATGGGTCTTGAAAAGAACGCCCTGGGTGGTTCTTGGGTCCCTGGGTCTGAGGGGTGGGGGGCTCCAGGTATAGCACAGTGACCCTGCCTCACAGAGCAGGCGGAGGTTGGCCTTGTCCAGAGGAAGCTTCCTCTTCGGTGGTTTCTTAACAAGCCGTCCTGAGGGTAGAGTATTCCAGAAGTGCTGTGGTCACACCGGCACCACTGGACACCCAGGTGGGGAGCCAGCCCGGGGCAGGGCGAGGTGCTTTGGCCTGGCTGGAGCTGGATGGAGGGCCGTCACCCAGGCCCTGCCTGTGTGGGTGAGACCTGCCGCTCGTGGGGGCTCTGTGGGCTGAAGCAGTGCCCATCCGCGCATCTCAGGGCCGGCCGGTGGAGGAGCGCGTGCAGCTCGTGTGGTTTAGGGACGAGAGCGGACCTCCAATGCGGCCGTCACGGTCGACAGTAAACCCCAACCTGGAGAAAGTCCACAGAAGCAGGACTGGGGCTGTCCGGGTCTCCGCCTGTGCTGTCCACTCACAGGTCTGGGGGTGTGTCCACAGGCGGCAGCCCCGCGGGACGAGGATGAGGACGACGATGACTTCGTGGAGGTCCCGGAGAAGGAGGGCTATGAGGCCTGCGTCCCTGAGCACCTGCAGCCTGAGTGTGGTGAGTGGCCAGGTTGGGAACGGGAGGAGGTCCCGCCCCGGACGCTGCCCTTCAGGGCAGACCTCATGTCCGGCCTGGGGCCCACCAAGCAGGGAGCTGGCCGTGGTAGGCACCCTGAGTCTGTGCCACCTGGTCCTGAGGTTCACTGCGTCCCCGCCCGTCGACCCTGCGGAGCCGCCTTCGTTGAAAACCATGTGATTCTCGTTTCCTGATTGGGGTGCTCACTGGCCTGGGCCCCTCCTCGAGGTCCGCCCCAGGTTCCCGCGGTCCACTTGGTGGGCAGGCCCTGCTGCCAGTTCCTGTGGGTGTGGCCAGGCTGTCCACACACGGAGGCCCCCGACCCACCCCACAGGCCCATGCTGACCACCCCCGCCCCCCGCCCTGCAGCTTCAGGCCTCACCACGGTGAGGGGCAGCCCTGCTTGGGGTCATAGAAGTCTCAGCCGTCGGGAGCGAGTCCAGGGTTGGAAGGGCACCCTCAGAGCAGAGAGTGCCTCCTGGCTCCAGAGCCGTTCGCGTCCGTTACACCTTCACACACTCCTCTTATGCAGCTTGGGGGCTTGGGGGAGGGTGTTGGGGGCACGCGGTGTGGTTACCGCGGCGGTAGGGCCCTTTGGGCTGGGAGGGAGTCGGGGGACGCCACTGCCTTGGTGGGTGGGGGGCAATCACCCCACATTCTCTGGGCTCCCCTGCTGCCCAGTCTCCGTTTCTCAGGGACGTCACAGGTCAGGCGGTGTCCTCCTTCCCGTTGATGGAGTCGCAGCCTGACGTCTGGCCCAGGAGCAATGACACACCTTGAGAAGGCGTGCTACCCGTGTGACCTGTCTTTCCTGTGTAGCGTTCTTTTCTTTTCCAAAAAATCTCCAAAAGCCTCTTCTGCACAGGAGGCATCTCTTGTCCAGAGGAAGCTAATAAAACCAAGATCGCATGTGGGTTTGTGGCGATGTGGACAAGTTGATTTGAATCAGAGCGTGTGAGATGAGATGTGAATTTGTTAGTTTAGACGCTCAGGCAGTTGGAGTGTGAGGGCATGACCCGTTAGGCGTGTCACACCAAGTTACCACACCAGCTTCACAGCCCTCCAGTGTTTGGGTCCTGCCGTCTGCGCCACGTGACCCTCCCTGGGTGCCCTAGGGTGCAGCCTCCACCTGCCTCCTGCCCTCCCGGCCACCGCCCCGCCCTCCATCCCGGCTGCCCCAACCGCGCCATCCCAGCAGTGGGGCTCCTCTGACCACTGGGCCACTCCCCGTGCCCTCTGTTCTGCCTCGTCCTCCAGGTGCCTGGCCCACCCCCCACGAGGCCTCGTCCCACACCCGTGAGGCTGCCAGGGGTGCTGGAGGCCCTGGGGTGCCATGACTGCCCTCCCAGGTCTCCCCTGGCCACCCCGCCTCAAGGGAGCTCCAGCCCCGCCAGGAGGCTCCCAGGTCGCCAGGCACCACTGTGGGTGACCACCTCCAGGTGTCGCCGACCCACCGCTTGTCTTCCCAGCGGGGCCCCAGGTGTGACAGAGCGGAGCGGAGCCATCCGCTGATTGTTCATGGGCCGGGCAGCCTGGGAGCCCTCGCACGACAGGACCTGCTGAGCTCCGGGTCTGTCCTGCGGCAGTGGGGGGGCTGGGTGCTGTCCCCCCGTTCCCTGGAGGGGTCTGGTGCCTGGTCTGGAGCACAGAGCTCGGGGCCACGAGGCCACTGCAGGAAGTGCTGGGTGCGCCAGTTTATAACTGTAGTTGATAGTCCGTCACTGGTTTTTCAATTAAACTCAGGTGACTCTGCAGTAGATTCGGTCTAAATCCACAGCTGAGGAGACGGGTGCCCGTTTTCTTTCTCATTTCTTTCTCTGAATTTTCACTGAGGGGCTTTTATCTTGCCGTTAATCCTACCATTTCTGTCAGGACGTAATCTCTTTCTCAAATTTACATTTTAATTACAAGGCCAGCTGAACTAGGTAAAATCAATAGTGTCAAGCTCGCAGCCGAACTCCACGCGGAGCCCCCGCCCCTCCATTTCCTGCCATCGATCCCGCCCGCCCCCTCTGCTTTAGCGCTGCAGGCACGGAGGTGCCACTTGGTCAGTTTAAACCAGCCCAGGGGGTTTGGGCATTCTCATGACTCTTCCTCAGAGCCACAGATTTGAGCTGAGATCTGTGTTTGAGGCAGACGCCCCTGTGCGGGTGGGTGGGGCTGGCGGGGTTCGCCGTGACCTGCGACCTCTGGTCTCCCCGGACTCAGTGTTCTCCCCGAAAGCACAGCACCCGGGGCCGGGGGACACGTCTGCTTTTCGGACTTTTACCTTGAAAGTGTGTCAGGGAGATTGATTTTCTACAGCAGTGTGAGAACAGTAGTATTTTTTTAGTGCTGTGAGTGTTTACCCTGCTTTAACACGCTCACCCATCTTTTTAATGGTTTAAAACAACAAATCAATGAAAAATATATTTCATTTTTGTAACTCTTAGGAATTCTCGTATCGATCTTCGGGTTGCGGTTGTAGCCACCTACGTGAGTGCCACAGCGGCCACTTATCAGTCCCGCCTCCCCGTGTGTGCGCATGCCCGTGTCGGGGTCTGCACCAGTTGGTAACACTGCATCGTCGGCATCCCGAGTGGGGGCATCTGGAAGGCTTTGTGACTGGACCCGGGATGTGTTGGTGACGGGGCCGGGTCCCCGCCGGCCTTCCGAGAGCACCCAGGCCTCAGGGCTCAGGGTGCTGCCGGGTGACCAAGGTGGACCCTGCCACCCCAAGTGGCTCTGCCCCATGTCCTCCATTCTCAGCCACAGGCACCTGAGAAGCAGGGGTGGACCCCGTACTCTCAGGGCCGTGCGCAAACTCGGAGGGCGTCTGGAGCAGGCAGGGCAGGCGTTTTTCGTGAAGGGCCTGGGGTGAACGGTTTCGGATTTGTGGGCAGTATGAGGCCTCTGTCGCAGCTACTCACCTGCTATCATCTACAAAAGCACTGGACAGCATTCCGGCCGCGCACGCGGGGAGGCCACGTGCGGACACCGGGAGGACTTGGCCGTGAGGTCCGCCCGCCCTGCTGCAGAGAGCCCGGAGCTGATGGTGGCCTGAGCCAGCCTTCCCAGCCCGTCCTTTTCGCCTTTTTCCCCTCCCACCCCCTCCCACTTCCCCTTCCTCCCCCAGGAAGTACTTCCCCTGGCGCCCAGCGCTCAGTGCTGTGTCGTTTCCTTTCTGGTTGCTCACTCTAAGCGGGGGATGTTCTCGAGCCCGTGCACGTGGATGGAGGGATGGAGACGCGCCATCAGGAAGGCCAGGCTCGTGGCGTCGCGGGCAGCGCTTCGTGTCGGTGTCGGTGTTGCTCTGCTCCCGTGGCGGCCCTTTGGCCCCTGGAGCTGCCTGCCTGGCTGTCTTGTCAGTTTTCCACGTGTCCTGGGAAGGACTTCTCAGACGTGAGGCCCCAGGGTGTCTGTCGTAGAAGGGACGGCCTCACTGACCCTTCGTCCACCCCCACTGGCCAGGGTCGGGCTGGAACTGCCAGGGCGCTCCTGAGGCAGAGCCGTTCGCGTCCGTTACACCTTCACACACTCCTCTTACGCAGCTGTTTGACGTAGAACCCAGTTTCGTTGTGGTGACGTCGGCTCAGCTTTCTTTTAGTTCCCGTTGGCACAGCGAGTGTCTTTTCATCCTTCTATTTTCTTTTATGCGTAGTCTCTGTTAACCTTCTGCTTTAAGGGGTTCTCGCCAGAGTGGGAAATTGCTGCTTGTTTTTCATCTCGTCAGCGTGTGTTTTCGTTGACTTGAGTCCGTTGAGTTACTGCCGTGTTCTCAGCTGGGGCTGCCAGTGTGCTGCGCGTCTGTTTGCCAGCCTTCCTCTTCAGTTTGCTGTTGTTGCGACTGTTTTGTTTTTTTCTTTTCCCTACCTTTTATTTGCTGGGTAAACCTTTTTTCTGCTGGTTTTGAAAGTGTTCATCCAGTATAAATAAAAAACGATACGAGTATTTTCGCTTCTGATGGTGACGCCTGCTCGGGAGAGTTGCACTCACACTTCCCCTCGCCATGCACCTCCCAGCACGTCCCTGTCCCCACGTCCTGCACAGGATGGGGGACATGCTGGCTCCCGCTCGCTCAGGCCCCCCGGCCCGGCACATTGGGTCGTCCAGGTACCAACTTAACTTCTGATGGTTGTGGGTACTCGGGTTTCGGGGGAGGCGGGAGTGAATCTTACGAAGTCATTTCTTGGCCTTTTCTCCCCATGTCCAGCAAACCCTCCTGAACCTCCAGGTGAGGCTGTGTCCTTCACCTGCATGTTGAAACCTAGCGTAGCTGGGTATAAAATTCCGAGTTTGACTTTTTCCCTAGACCTTACACTCACTGTTGTTTGAAAGACACTGGTGCCTGTGGGATGCTTATGGCTTCCGAAGGAAAGCTTCTCAGACCTTTGTGTTCATCTCTTGCGTTCCTAAACATCCTTGTAAGTGACTTGCACGTTCTTCCTTTCGTCTCCTTCCTGACACTCAGTGAGCCCCTCGGTCTTGCTCTTGCTCTGATTCCAGGAAGATTGGGCTTTTTATTTCATCCACCCCAGTTATCTTTCCTCTTTCTGGGGTCCAGTAATGAGGAAGTTGATGCCTGTGTGAATGCCCTCCACGTCTCTGACCAGAGAGACCTGCCCGTGGGTGTGCAGCCGCCCTCCTGTCCTTCAGCCCGGCCTGGAGTCGTCCTCTCCTCTGCTTGCCCGCTGTCTTTGTCTTCCTGGCTCCCTCTTTGTGGGGCCCTGGTGGGTCTCCAGCTCCTCTTTCTTTCTCACCTTCCAGATATTTTGTTTCTTGTTCACCTCTTTCTTGGCAGTGGTCCCCTGTCTGGAGGAGAGTTTGGGGAGGGAGGCGCTGCCCTCGCTTTCGGGATGGAGTGCCTCTGAGGTCCTAACCCACACCGTGCCTCCTGGGCAGCCCCTGGCCCAGGTGCCCAACTGGGAGGGGCCGGCAGGGGTCAGGGACAGCCCGGGAATCGGCACAGTTGGGCCAGTGGGGCCCAGTAGTGTCAGAGAAGCCGCCCTCCCCCTGCCCTGGGGACCTGGGCACGGACCCTGGCCTGCAGAGGTGGCCCGGTGGCCTTGCCGCTGAGATGCTGGCATTGGGGCCTCATCTGGCTGGCGGGGCAGGTGCTGTGCTGATGGAGGGTTCGGTGCCCTCACACGTGGTGTGCTGTCACCGTGGGATGGGGACGCGGCGCCCTCCAGGGGTCTGTCCGGGGTCATGGGGATGGTGGCCAAGAGCAGATACGTCTCTGTCGCAGGGCTGGAGAAAGACCCGGCCACGCCGGCCTCGCAGGCGAGGAAGAGGACGGGGAGCAGTGAGGAGGCCTGCGACCCCACCTCTGCGGCAGCCCAGCTGCACTGGCTCCAGCGCCACTTGCCCCCAGCCTCACCCCCGAGCCCCAGGTGATGCCGACACCCGCCCCTGCCCAGGCAGCCCCACATGTGCACCCCCGGCCGGGCAAGCACCTGCCAATATCCGTACTGGGGCGGGGGCTGCAGGGGCCGGGGGTCCTCAGCGCTGGTGTGTAGGCCAGGCCGTGGGGGTGGGCCAGGGCTCTGGGGTTCAAGGGGTCAGGCGTCAGGACACCCCTGGGCCCAGCGTGAGGACCGCAGATCTGAGGCCAGCTCCCAGTGTGGTCTTGGGATGGCCAGCCTTTTCGTAGGGCTTCAGTGGCTGCCCTGGGTTCCAGGCCCGAGGTGGCAAAGGTCGCGGCCCAGATGTGTGACCGGGAGCTCTGGGGGGTGCAGAGAGGCAGGTGGCCGAGGCTGGCTCCCGGCGGCACATCACTGACTCCTCCTCTGCTGTCTCCAGGGTGCCGCTGGGTCCAGAGGAGGCCAAGAAGCTGGCGGCAGAGCGGGCCCGGGCACCTGTCGTGCCCTTCGGGGTGGACTTGTGCTACTGGGGCCGAGAGGAGCCGATGGCTGGGAAGATCCTCAAGTGAGTGCGGGCATCCCGTGGGTCCTGTGGGCACCCATTCTGCCCCCGGCCTGGGCGCAGGGCCCGGCTCTGCCGCGCAGGCCCTCACGCGTCCCACCGAGCGCAGCTCTCGGGCTCTCGTAGGCATGGTGCCTACCCGGGGTCGTACAGCCCTGCCCAGAGGCCTGTGGACCTTCTTTGAACCTCCTTGTTACTCCCTGGGGGGATGTTCCCTGTTGTCTGCCCTGATGGTTGGGCATCATGACAGACGGCATGAGGCTTGTCTGCCTAGGACTGGGGTCCGGCCCGGCCCACTGCTCCAGGCTCTCTGCCCAGGCCCTCATCATGACCGCCCTCTGGCGGATCTCCGCGGGCCCGGCCTGGGGCTCCACAGAGAGTTTCTGGGAAGCCGCCCCCGTTGCTGCGCTGGACGCTTTCTCTCCAGAGTGGGCACGGGGGTGGGGGTGGGGGTGGGCGGATCTGTCCTCTGTTAACCTCCGTCAGGGAGCCCCTGCCCCGGGTCCAGGCCAGGCTAGGGAGGCGGGCCACTGGGGTGGGGTGCCTGGCGGTGCCCCCACCATACTAAGCGTCTCTGCTCGTCCTGAATGGGCTCACAAGCCCAGGGGTGCCCCCTGCTCAGCCGCCCAGGCCGGCCTTGCTGCGGGTGCTGTGGTGGCCACCCCATGACAGCGCTGAGCGTCTGGTCCGTGTGCAGGTCTGACTCGGAGCACCGCTTCTGGAAGCCCCGCGAGGTGGACACGGAAGTAGAGAGTGCCGCTGTCTCTGAGTCTCTCCGGAGCCGCCAAATCACCTTTGCGGGGCGATTCGAGCCCGTGCAGCACCGGTGCCGTGCCCCCCGGCCCGACGGCCGGCTCTGCGAGCGCCAAGACCGCCTGAAGGTGAGGAGGGTGGGCGGCTGGGCAGTGGGGTGGCCACCTCGGCCAGGCCAGGATGGGGCCGGAGGGGGCGCTGGGCTCCAGGCTGCTGGTGCCAGGACCTTCCCCTGGGTGGGTGGTCTGACACGCGGGCACAGGGCTGGGTTGCTCTGCCCTGGCTCCTGCGTCCCCGCCCACGTGTGTCTCCTGAGCGCGCTCTGTGCTGGGCCGGGGGTCCACGGAGGCGGCACTGTGCGCCAGGCGGGCCTTTGGCCAGACTGACACCAGATCTCCATCCGCTCCCTGGCTGTGTGGCGGCTGCGCCCGAGGGCCCCTCCTTTGAGGGGTGTGTGAGCAGAGGGTGGTGTGGACCGGCCGGCCCCGGGAGCCGTGAAGGTAGGGATGGCCAGTGGCCCGCTCCCGCCTCAGAATTGCTCCGTTCTCCGCCTCAGTGCCCTTTCCACGGGAAGATCATCCCGAGAGATGACACGGGACGGCCCCTCCATCCGGAGGACAGGGCCCGCGAGCAGAAGCAGAAGCAGCAGCTGCAGGGGCCGGCGGGCCGCCCAGGTAGGTCCGGGGGACGGGGTAGCGGCAGCCACGGCGTGGGGGGCGCCCTGGACCCCAGCAGCCGACAGGGTGGCCCGTGGTTGCCACGTGTGGTTGCCTGCCGCCTCCCACTCAGTCATAACTCGCAAGCGTGGCCGGGACACGCTGTCCTCGGGGCCAGCAGAGCACTGAGCACCAGCCTGGCCGCATTTCACGCGGCTCCTGACGGGCGCCGTGGACACTCCCATGGCCGGAAACCACCTTGTCGTCGTTGGTTTGGGTTCTGGGTTCTTAAGCCTCTTTTTAAGCAAATGGAAAAACCGAGGCATGAAAAGTTAATTGGCTGAGCCCCGAGCTGCCTCCAGGACGCCAGCTGCCCCCCTCCGTCACCTGCTGTCTTGCAGAGCCATGCACGAGGGGCCGGGCAGGAGGGCTGCGTCGTGTGCGGTGTGCGATTTGTGTGCACGTGGACTGTGTGTGCGCGTGTGTGGGCAGAAGGTGAGGGTCCTGCCCGGTGGTCCCAGGCATCCTTGCTGAGCCTCTGAGCCTGGAGCGCACTCTCTTGGGGTCCTACTCAGGGCCCCCATTTTCCGGCCTGTAGGCCTGTTTCGTGCCAAGGCCACCGAGACGCTGTTCGCCGCCGTGCAGGGAGCTCACCTCATCCTGGCACGCGAGCCGGTGCTGTGTTCTGGCACGGGCTGCGGGGTGGCAGCTGCCCGGCCCCCAGAGGCCCCTGAACAGCCGGGCAGGATGGTGACTCGCAGAAGCGGCGTCCTTGGCAGGGCCCGCGAGCACCCGAGCACACTTGGGGTGGGGGTGGTGGGCCCAACGGTGTGGCCCTGACCCGTGTCGACGTCCCATGGTTTGTCAGATCTGGGCTGGGGTCTGGAGGCCGTCCCGCCTTGGGCCCCTTTTCTTAAAAGAAAGGCCAGGCCCACAGCGCAGAGCCCCCGAGGCAGAAGGCGGCTGTGTCTGTAGGGGTGGTGCTAGTGTGGGTCTCAGCTGGGCCGTGTGTCCTCTTTCGCAGGGTTTTTCCCTTTGTCACGAGAGACAAATGTTAGATTTCGGCCTCACACCCAGGGTTGGCGCCTGGAGCCCTGGAGGGTGGCGCGGAGGGGCCCTGACCCATTAATCCGCAGGAGAGGCCTTCCCTGGTGGCCCACTCGGGAGCAAATTAAGTGCCTATTTTTGTGTCAGCCCTGAAGAGTATCGGGTTCTGCAGCCCTCGGTGACTTGTTAACAACAGGTATCAGGCCGGGGCCGCGGGCCAGCGCTGGCCAGTCAGATGTGAAATAGCATCTCTTTACTAACTACAGTATCGATCCCCGCCTCCCTCACACGCCGGGCAGTTTTCTTTTCCCGGCGCTAACCTCGGTGACAATGCGCTCGGAGCTCCAGGGCCCATCAGCGCGCAGGACGGCCGCGGCCTGGCTCTTATTGATTTTTTTCAAAGGCTTTTAAATTGCTCCTTCATTTTACTGAGATGCTCATTCCGTCTCTACTGGGTGCCGGCGTTTTTCCGTTGTGTTTAAACAATTGCTCCATTCACCGGGTTCTTAAACTGTGACGCCTTCTCGTTCTGGGAGATAAACTGTTTGGACAGTTTTCCTTAATCTTGGATTAATCGTTCCTGTATCTGGATTGGGCCGCCCCGTATTCCTTCACTTCAAAAATCAACTCGGGGAGGCCTCGCTATCTGTCTGGGTGCGTGGCTTCTCCCCCCACTGGACGTGCCCTGCTTGCCACCCGGCCCCTCTGCCGCAGCCCCCCATGGGGCTCTTGTTTGCATGGTGGGCGCCATCAGGGTTTGGGGTGTCCAACCCCCTTCTGCCAGCCAGGGCCTGGGTCCGTAGGTCTGGGCACGTTGGGGAGCTGTGCTGTCACACTCCTGACCAGGGCGGCCTTCCCGAGCCAGCAGACTAGATGGAGCCTGAATCTCAGGGACCTCCACGCGACCCAGTCCTGCCCCCGACCCAGCGGACGGAGACTGAGGCGGAAGTCGCTGCCAGGGCAGTGGTGGGTGGAGTTGGGACGCTGGCCTCTGACTCCGATGCCTGGGCCTGCTGCGTTGGGAGCCCCCCATTTAGACAGTTAACGCTTCCCATCTTGGCGAACAGGCACACTCACCTGTCTCTGTTGCAGCCAGGTCTGGTGAGACCAGGCCTTGGGGCTGGGAGACGTTTGTTTCCCCGCGGAGCACCATCTTCTGACCCGAAGGGCCTGGGCTGTGGCGGGAGGAGCAGGGCCGCCTGCCTGAACCGACACCCTCATCGCTGGGGCCTGGGGCCAAGTTCTCTTTGGACCAGTAAAGAGGCCGTGGCCACCCTGCTGTGCACACCCTCTGGCCAGCACAAGGGTCCGGAGGCCACGCCTGGGTTCTGGTGGGGCACCGTCAGCCTGGAGGCGGAAGCAGTCTGCGCGTGGCACTGCCCCTGGCCGCCAGCCTCGGTTGCCTTCCTGCCTAAGGGGTCAGTGGAGGCACCCACCTTGGCCTACGGGGACTTGCGCCCACTCCTTGGGCAGCCGGTGGCCCTCCCTGCCCCCGTGTCAGGGAGGGCTTGGGGCTCAGGTGAGGTCGGCGCCGGGAGTTTCCTGCAGTGTCGGGTGTGTTTGCAGCCTGGCAGGACCCTGAGCTCATGAGGGACGTGGAGGCAACCACTGGGGTGCATCTTGGCTCATCCAGGCCTGGTGGGAAGGGCAGGCGGCGGCGGTCCGGCCTCACCGACCTCAAGCGGCAGGCGGACACAGCGCGTGCACGCATCGCCAAGAAGGTCTTCGCCAAGTAAGAGCTCCTCGCGGGGTCCCGCCTTCTGCCCCAGGCCCGGTGTCACTGGTGGCGAGAGTGGAGAAGGCCGCCAGCCCGCGCCCCCACTGCCTGCCTCCCACCCCGCCGCTCTGGCGGCCAGAGGCACTCCTTGCGGCGCTACTAGGTGCCCTAGAAGGCACGAGGGTGTCTGCGCCCAGGCCCCATGGGCGCCGTCCACCCTGGGCAGAGAAGGCGGCGTCAGGGCCCTGCCCAAGTCGGGTGAGCAGGAGGGCAGCTTCCTGAGCACCCCGCGGAACGCCCACGGCTCCTCGCCGCCGGCCTGCCTTTGCGTCTGCATCCAGGGGAGGGCTCGGCCCCCGGGCTCCGGGCACGAGGCTGGCTCCCCGTGGCTCAGCCAGGGGTGATGGTGCCGTGGGTGCTGGCGCCCGGAGGAGCGGGGCCCGGGGGCGTCCTCTGAGGGGCTGGGAGCTGTGGCCGGAGCCTCTGTGATCTGTGAGGGAGGTTGTGCCTGACCCCTGGAGTGGTGCCCGTGTCTGGGCCTCCTCGCTGCCAGGGCCCAGCGGCTTCCTCCCAGGCAGAGGCGCTACCTCGTCACGGCAGCCAGGCTGGCTGTGAGACGTGTGTTCCTCGCCAGACGTCCAGCTCTGCGCACAGTGGGGTGAAAGCAAGCTGGGCTGAGTGGATCCAGCGTGTCTTGACCGCCTCTGCCCACACGCTGCTTCCTACCCGGTTGCTGGGCAGGCTGCGCCCTCGTTCTGGGGTGCACCCTGGTGCTGGCAGAATTGGGGATCCTGGGAGCGGCCTTCAGGGCTCAGGGAGCGATGGGAGAGGTGCCAGGACGTGGCCAAGGCCACGTTCGGGGGCAGAGCCGCTCACTGTGGTGTCTGGCTCTGGACGGGGAAGCTCTAGCTATTTCCGAGCTGTGTCGCCCGTCCGTAGGGAGCGGACGGGCAGTCGGCCCAGGACCCATGGCTGAACCCAGCCAGGCTGCAGTGAGCAGCCCGGAGCCCTGGCCGGTGCCTCCCTGATCACGTCTCGCTGTGCTTTCCCTGCAGGGCCGCTGTGCAGAGGGTGGTCACAGCCATGAACCAGATGGACCGGAAGAAGCATGAGAAGTTTGCAAACCAGTTTAACTACGCGCTGAATTAGAGCGCCAGGCCGGGTCCACTCTGATCGTCAGCTCCTCTTCTGCTGATGAGCTAGGATGGGAAGGCAGACCCGGGTCTGGGCTATAACAACAGCCACAATTATAGTGTGTATTTAACGTGAAGAAATGGTGCACTTTCTGCTTAAAGTGCCCCAGAGGTGTGGACTCTCCCCTGCTGCGGGGGACCACGGCCATCGCTTATGGGTCTGACTGCCTAGTAGCCCGGGGTGAACTCGGGTAACCATGTCCACAGGTGGGTGTCTTGTACAGCCTGTGCCCTTTGTGGTGTGATTCAGGGTCGCTCAACGTCCAAGACGAGTGCGCAGCCTCCAGCCCTGCCCCCCAGCCTTCTCCGCCTCGGAGGAAAACCCACATTTCACGTTGACACGATGGGGAGCCAGCTGTTTGCTCTCGGTGTTTCCAGCTCATAGGCCTGCTGGTGGTGGTTCCACGTCAGAATGCAGGGAACTACCTCACTCTTGGTTCTTCTAAAATCAACTTTATTGAGACGTAACTCACGTACTGTAACGTTCATGCCTTTAAAGCGTACAGTTCGGTGACGTTAAATACACTCACAGTGTTGTACAGTCTCCACCACTGTCTACTTCCAGAACTTTTCATCACCCTAAAAGAAACCCTGCTCCCCCAGCCCCGGCCCCCTCTGGTCTCCTGTTTCTGGATTTGCCTTTGCTGGACGTTTCATGTGAATGGAGTCATAGCAGCCTGTGGCCCTTTGTGTCTGGCTGCCTTCACTTAGCACAGAGTTTTCTAGGTTCTTCCCTGCTGGGGCCTCTGTCCGTGCTTCATTCCTTTTTATGACTGGATAACTCACCACTGCATGAACATACTGCACTTTGTTGATCCGTTCATTGTGGACATTCGGGTTGTCTGCACTTCGGGGTTATTATGCATGATGTTGCTATGACCATTTGTGTACAAGTTTTTGTGTGGGCGTATATTTTCATTCCTTTTGGGTTTATACCTAGAAGTGGAATGGCTGGGTCACGTGGTAACTCTGTGTTTAACTTATTGATTGAATTGCCAAAACATTTTCCAAAGCCGCTGCACCGTTTTCTGTCCCCACCAGCAGTGTATTAGGGTTCTCGTTTCTCCGTGTTCTTGCCAACATTTGCTTTTATCAGTCTTTTTAATTTTAGCCATCTTGGTGTGGAGTGGCGTATCATTGTGGTTTGATTTGACTAAGGATATTGAACATCTTTTCATGTACTTATTGGCCATTTGTGTATATTCTTTGGTGAAACATCTAGATCCTTTGCCCATTTTAAATTGAATTGTTGTTTTCAGTTGTAAGAGTAATTTATATATTCTGGATACTAGATCCTTATATGATTTGCAAATATTTTCTCCCATTCTGTGTTTTCACTTCCTTGATGGTATTCCTTGAAACACAAAGATTATGAATTTTGATGATACCCAATATATCTATTTTTCCTTTTGTAACTTGTGATTTTGGTGTCATATCCAAGCAGCTATTGCCTACTCTAAGGTCATGAATATATACTCTTATGTTTTCTTCTAAGAGTTTTAAGATGTAGCTGTTCATTTTAGGTCTTTGGTCCATTTTGAGTTAATTTTTTTTTTAATTTATTTACCTTTTATTTATTTATTTTTGGCTGTGTTGGATCTTTGTTGCTGCACATGGGCTTTCTCTAGTTGGGGCGAGCGGGGGCTATTCTTCATTGCAGTGCGCGGGCTTCTCATTGTGGTGGCTTCTCTTGTTGCAGAGCACAGGCTCTAGGCGCACGGGCTTCAAGTAGTTGTGGCTCGCAGGCTCTAGAGCGTAGGCTCGGTAGTTGTGGCTCGTGGGCTCTATAGTGCAGGCTCGGTAGCTGTGGCACACGGGCTTAGTTGCTCCGTGGCACGTGGGATCTTCCCGGACCAGGGCTCGAACCTGTGTCCCCTGCATTGGCAGGCGGATTCTTAACCACTGCACCACCAGGGGAGCCCCATTTTGAGTTAATTTTTGTCTGTGCTTCATTCATGTGGCTATTCAGTTGTCTCAGCATCATTTGTCGAAAAGATTATTCTTTCTTCCATTGAATTGTGTGCACTTTTCTTGATCATCAATTGACAATAAATGTGTGAATTTATTTCTGGACTCTCACTTCTATTCCCTTGACCTATATATCCTATGCTACTGCTACAATGTCTTGATTAATGTAGCTTTGTGGTAAGTTTCGAAATCCTCCAACTTTGTTCTTTTTAAACATTGTTTTGGCCATTCTGGGTCTTTTGCATTTCCAAACACATTTTTGAGCCACCTCATGTGTCTGTCGCTCTTGCTAAAAATAAAGAGTAATGGAATCTCAAAAATAAATGAATGATTGAATGAATGAATGAATGAATTTGTGCCACCAAAAAAAAAAAAAAAAAGGGCATCTGAGATTTTAGAGATTGTGTCGACCCTAGACATCACTTTGGAAAGTATAGCTGACCTTTGAAAACCACGGGTTTGAACTACACAGGTCCACTTACACAAGGACTTTTTCAGCAGTAAACACTGCAGGGCCACATGAGCCATGGCTGGTTGACTCCTTGGAGGAGAACCACAGGCTCAGGGGCTGATGGTGCGGTTACACGTGGATCTTTGACTGCATGGAGGGTAGGCTCGGTAGGCTCGCCTAAACCCTGAGATGTTCAAGGGCCACGTGTAATGTCATTTTTAATCTTAAATTTTCTAATTAGTGAACTTAGAATATCTTTTCATTTGTTTAGGTTTTCTTTATATTTTCTCCGTGTTTTGTAGTTTTCAGTGTACAAGTTTTGCATTTATTTTGTTAAATTTATTCTTAAATGTTTTATTCTGTTTGATGTCATTGTAAATGCAGCTGTTCTCTGAATTTCATTTTTGGATTGTTCATTGCTAATGCATAGAAATACAACTACTTTTTTTATGTTGGTCTTATATCCTGAAACCTTGCTGAACTCACTAGTTCTAATAGTTGTATGTGTGTGTAGATTTCTTAGGATTTTCTATACACACTATCATGTCATCTGCAAGAGAAAGTTGGATTTCTTTCTTTGCAATTTGGATTTCTTTTATTTCTTTGTCTTGCCTGGGTGCTCTGGCTAGAGCCTCAGTACAGTGCCAGATAGAACTGGAGAGAGCAGACATCCTCGTCTTGCCCCTGATCTGAGAGGAAAAGCTTTCAGTCTTTTACCATCGAATGTAATGGTAGCTGGTTTTTTTGTAGATGGCCTTGTATCAGGTTGAGGAAGTTTCCTTATGTTCTTAGTTTGTTGAGTGTTTTTGTCGTGAAGGGAGTTGAGTTTTTGTCAAATGCACTTTCTACATCTATTGAAATGATCGTGTGGTTTTGGTCCTTTATTCTTTTCGTATGGTGTGTTACATTGTTTTTCATATGTTGAACCACACTTGCATTCATGGGATAAATCCCACGTGGTCAGTTTCAGTAGTCTGTATATTTCTAGGAATTTGTCCATTTCATCTAGGTTATTTGTTATCGTTTGTTGACATAACAGTTGTTCATAGCATTACTTTATAGTCATTTTTATTTCTGTAAGGTTGATAGTAATGTCTCTTCTATCATTCCTGATTTTAGAAATTTGAGTCTTCTCTTATTAATTTTCTTGGTTAGTCTAGCTAGAGGGTTATCAGTTTTACTGATCTATTCAAAGTTGTTTTTCTCTATTATTTTTCATTTTTTACTTAATTTCCACTCTAATGTTTATTATTTCCATTGGGTTGCTTTGTGTTTAGTAGTTTTCATTCTTTTTCTAGTTTCTTAAGTGGAAGTTTAGCTTATTGACTTGAGACCTGTCTTCTTTGTAACGTAGGTGTTTACAGGTATGGGTTTCCATCTAAGCACTGCTTTAGCTTCATCCCGTACGTTTTGGTATGTCGTGTGTCCATCTTTATCTCAAAAGTATTTTCTAACTTCTCTTGTGATTTCTTACTTTACCCATTGCTTATTTAGGAGTTTGTCGTTTAATTTCCACATCCTTGTGAATTTCCCAAATTTCCTTCTGTTATTTGATTTCTCATGTCATTCTGTGTAGCCAAAGAGCATGTTTTGTGTGATTTCAGTTCTTTAAAATTTGAGACTTAAGATCTATCCTGGAGAGTGTTTTATGTGCAGCTGAGAAGATGAGTACTCTGCTCCTGATGGGCGTTCTGTAGAGTCTGTCAGGTCTATAGCTGGTTTATAGTGTTGTTTAAGTCTTCTTTTCCTTATTGATCTTTACCCCAGCAGTTAAATCCGTTATTGAAAGTGGGGTATTGAAATCTCCAACTGTTATTGTTTAATTATCTATTTCTCCCCTCTCTGTCAGTTTTTGCTTTGTGTATTTTAGGGCTCTGTTAAGTGCATATATGTTTATACTTCTTATTTCTTCCCGATGGGTTGACCCTTTACAGCACAGCCTTCTCTATCTCTAGTACCAAACAGTTTTTGCCTTAAGGTCTCTTTTGTATGATGTTAGCGTAGCTTCTGGTTGTTTGCATGGTATATCCTTTTCCAGCCTTTCACTTTCATTATATCTCTGAATCTAAAGTCTTATGGACAGCATATATTTGATCATGTTTTTATATCGGTTCTACCAAGTCTCTGCTGCTTGAGTGGAGCGTTTAATCTACTTACCTTTAACGTAATTGCTGATAAGGTAAGATTTATGTCTGCCATTTTTCTGTTTTTCTACATATCTTTTTAAATCTTTCTTCCTCTGTTACCTTTTTTTCTTGTGTGTTAAATGGCTGTTTAATTCCCTTGTAATACTTCAATTCCCTTGTGCCTCTACCACTGTTTTTTTAGGTAATTTTTTTCAGTGGTTGCTTTGAGGATTACCATGAACAACTTAATACAATCTAGTTTGGATTAATAACAACTTAATTTCAGTAATGTACAAAAACTGCTCCATTAGAGCTCTGTTTCCTTCCAGCTCTTTTCTGCTGTTTTTGTCATACAAATTGCATCTTAATAGATTGTAAGCCCATCAACATAGTTTTGTAATTATTGCTTTATGTAGTTGTCTTTTACATCAGATAGGAAAAGAAAAGGTTTACAAACATAAGCGCATTTATACTGTCTTTTATCTGGCTCTGTAGTTCCCTTTCCCAGTGCCCTAATTTCTCTTTGAGGATCTGAATCTGGTATCTTTCACTTCAACCTGAAGCACTCCCTTCAGTGTCTCTTGTAGGGCAGGTCTGCTAGCAGTGAAGTCTCTTCATTTTTGTCTCTCTGGGAATGTCTTCATTTCTCCTTCGTTTTGAGGAATAGTTTTGCTGGATGTAGAATTCTTGGTTTAACAGTCTTTTTCTTGCAACACTTTTTTTTTTGGCGGTACGCGGGCCTCTCACTGCTGTGGCCTCTCCCGTTGCGGAGCACAGGCTCCGGACGCGCAGGCTCAGCGGCCATGGCTCACGGGCCCCCCCGCTCTGCGGCATGTGGGATCCTCCCGGACCGGGGCACGAACCCGTGTCCCCTGCATCGGCAGGCGGACTCTCAACCACTGCGCCACCAGGGAAGCCCTCTTGCAACACTTTGCGTGTGTCATCCCACAGCCTCGTGGGCTGCAGGGTTTCTGGAGAGAAGCTAGCTGTTAGTCTTTGGAAAGAAGCCTTGAACACGAGTTGGGTTTTTAATTGCTACTTTCAAGATGCTCTGTTTGTCTTTATGCTCTGACTGTTTTAACCACGAAGTGTCTAGTTAAGGTCTCTCTGTGTGTGTCCTACTTGGAATTTGTTGAGCTTCTTGGTTGTAGAGATTGTTTCTCATCAAACTTGGCCACTATTTCCCCTGAGATTCTTTCTGTCCTGTTCCCTCTCTCCTCTCCGAGGACTCCCATCATGTATACACACTTGGTTGATGGTATCCATTGGCCTCTGAGGCCTGTTCATTTTTCTTCGTTCTTTTTACTGTGTCTCAGACTGGACCTGTTGACTTATCTTCAAGGCAGCTTAGTGATTAGCTAATGACTGGACAGAGATTTCCTTAAATGCTTTGATCCAGTGCGTCTGGTGGTTTTCCGACTAGCTGTGTGTACGTGTGTCTGTGTTGGGCACACCTTCAGCGCTCTGCCAGCCAGTTGCTGACTCTGCCTTGGCTCTCACTTGATGAATGTTTTGGTCTTTGCTCCATGAGAAAGTAGCATGTTATAGTTTTAATTGACGTTTCTCTTAGGAGTGAGAGCAAGCATTTTTCATAATGTTAAAGCATTCATTGTTTATCCTTTTCTG